ATCAGTCACTTGCATAAGTGTGTTCATCAGCTTGACTTGTAGACCATATCAACAGTGCGGAGCTTGGTTATTGATGTATTCCATAGCTGCTGTTAGGTTATTGAAGAAATGGTCATCCAAGTTGACTCCACTGTCTCTGGTAATGACCAGGCCTTGGTTTTCAGTTGCTGGTGCTAAAGGAGGCAGGTTGCTTTGTCCAGCCATTTTTGAAGAATATCAGAGATCAAAAAATTTGCAAATGTCAGAATAACAGAATAGAAGGAAATGTTGAATCTGTAAAAAGAATCAAGCTTGAATGTAAAAGAAAGTAAAAGCTCTAGCAAAGAAAAATTGACCTTTAAATATCTCCAGAAAAAGTGAATGCTAAGCAAATAACAAAGAAAGAGAAACTTCCTGAAAGAGCAAGCAAAAACTTCACTTTGCAGACAAATAAAAGAAACTTCCTGAATAAGCAAGCAAAAAACTTCATCTTTGCAAACAAAACACAACAAATTAAATATCTTGTGGAGGTATAACAACAGCAAAGCTCCAGTCATCTGGTATAACAGTTGGAAATTGTGTTTGCTCCATTTCTTCTTGATTATTTTCATTTTCACTCTGATTCAAGAAGCTAACATCCAAGGAACTGCTAGAGGGAATGTTAGGTTGACTTCTGGTGGCATATCTTTGAGAGATGTTCTCCATCTCTACATCAGAATCTGCTGAGCTATTATTGAATGGCTCCATTCCAGGTTTCATAAGGTACTTCTTTAATCTGTTTCCTGCAATAGATTCTTTGAGTTCAGTGCTGTCTAACTCTTCAAGATGATAGGCATCTAGTTCTTGATTGGTGGACTTAATTCTATAGGGTCCTAGCCATTGAAAGTGCAGGGTGTTATTCCTAGATATATTCTGTTCTTCTTTGGTATTGTGAAGCAAGACAAGGTCTCCAGGTAGAAGAGGGTTGGTTCAAATATTATGGGTATCATCAAAGTATTTCTTATTTCTAGTGTGCATTCAGAGCTGATGATGAGCTGCTTCCAGGACATCCTCATCTCATCTTTCAATTTGCTGTGCTTACATCAGAAGCAGGTCTTCAGTTGTTTGAATCTTTTGCCAGGGAATTGTTTGCCAAGTAGAAATCTTGAGTTCAATTGGAAGAACTGCCTCCTGGCCCATTAGCAATCTATAAGGGGAGACACCAGTACTAGCCTTAGTTGTTATTCAATCTGCCATCAGAATTGCAGGAAGATGTTTAATCCAATCCCTCCCAGTGCCATTGGTAGCTTTAGCTAGCCCATCAGCCAAAGGCTTATGGCCAACTTCCACCATACCATTCACAGGAGGGTTATAGGGCGAAATAACAATGTGTTTAATGTTGAATTTCTTCAGTAAGGTCTCCACAACATCCTTATTTTCTGGTCCTCCATCCATAACAAATTTGGCAGGCAGGCCCCATCAACAGATAATATTCTCATAAAGAAATTTGGCCACAGCTTCAGCTGTTGCCTTTTTCAAGGCTCTAGCTTCCACCCATCCAGTGAAGTCACATCTGGCAACAATCAAATAATTTTGTCCTCAACAGGAAGGCATGTGCTTGATATCCACCCCAACTTTCTCCCAACAGGTAGGGGCCCAGATAGGATGAAGCTCTTTGCTCAATCTTTGTGAATCTCTTTGTTGACATTGAGAACAGTGCTTCACATAAGCAGACACATCTTTATACATCTCTGACCATCAGTATTGAGCTTGTAGGGCAGAGTATGTTCCCTCTTGCCCTTTATGGCCAAATTTGTTGTGCATCATGTGTAAAATTTGTTCACACTGTTCTTTGTTGTCCACAACATGTCTTAGAGGCACACCAGATCCTGCTTGCCTAAATAGCTGATTGGCCTCCACCACATATTTAATTGCTTTTCTTTGAAATCTCGCGTATTCTTTTCCTTCCATGCCCAATGGTTTTGATAGGGTGGTTAGGTATTGTGCAATTTTCTCTGATTCTTCTGAATATGTGGAGTCCAGTATCCTAAGGTCTTCACTATCAAGAGCTTGGCCAGCTAAAACTCTTATAGGATCCATAAAGGCAAACAGATCTTCATCTTCTTCAGATTCAGGCTGTTCCCCAATATCTAGTCCTTGGTGAGATAGTCTGTCAGCAGCTGTGTGTTTTGTCCCAGGAATATGTTTAACAGTAAAGTTGAAGAGGTGTATCCAAGCTATCCAGTTGGTAACCAAAGCTCCTGGAATATCTGTAGCAGTCCTATTAAGTTGGGTGACAAGAGTTTTTGCATCAATTTCCAAGGTAAAGGGCACTCTATAGATATGGTGTTGGAATTTCTTGAAGGCTTTCAAAACAGCTCTGCATTCTTGTTTGCCAGCATCATATGTTTTCTCTGAATCACTCCATACTCTGGATTTGTATTGTGTGGGATGTTGAGCTCCTTGTTGCTCCTGAATAATGCATTCTCCCCATCCTAATCCACTGGCATCAACAGCCACAGTGATAAGCAAAGGATCCTGTTTGTAATTGATTGGAAGAATGATAGGGAATGAACATAACTTTTCTTTCAAAAGCATAAAGGTGTCATTTTGCTCTTCAGTCCATGTCCATGTAACATTTCATTGAAGCAGATAATGTAAAGGTTTGGTTATCCAACTATAATGCTCTATGAGTATTCAGAAATATCCAGCAAGCCCTAGGAATTCTTGTAATTCTGTAATGCTTGTAGGAGTAGGCCAATTTGCAATTTTAGCCACCTTGGCTTCCTCAGGTTGTTGTCTGTCATAGTTGCAGACCCATCCAATGACATTGACTCCAGACATGCAGAATTGAGATTTGGTGCTGGAGATCCTGGCTCCAGAGATTTTGACAAGCCATAGAATGTAGTTCAGGTTCTGCAGATGGTTATAAACAAATCTTCTTATTCCTGGGAGGACTTTAGTTTCATCTTTGACATGTGATTCTTTTACCCCAAGGTCATCCATAAAGGCTCGAGCAATCTCTGGAAAAACCTTGTGTATTATCTTCATTATCCCGCGTTGGGCTTGAGCTGGTGAATTTGTTGCCTCTTGGACTAAAGTTGTATGGTGAAAGAGCCCAATAGGGGTTGCAATGGCTGTCATATCTCTGCTTTCTTCAGCTAATGGAAAATTATTGTATCCAGAGAATAAGTTGCATAGGCTAGCCATAACAAGTCTGCTGAAGTCTTCAGTATATTTGTCAATATTAGGAGGAATAAAAGTGTCCTGAATAGTAACTTTGTTGTACATATGTGCTGCATTAACTAAATGATATTTGCCTTTCTGTTTCTTTGTGACCAGAAAATAGGGATTGGTATATGAATCATGGCAAGGCTCCAACATTTTAGCTTCTAACCTGTCCTGAATGATTTTAATTAGCTTATCATGTAGAGCATGAGGAATTCAGTAAGTCTTAGTCTGCCAAGCCTCATGGGGCTCTGTCTGAATAACCTGGGGAGGCAAGCATTCAGGATGAACACCACATAGGTCTTTGAATGACCAAGCCAACACCCCTTCACATTTATAAAGGACTGATATGAAAAATTCCTTCTCCCAACTTGTCAGTTCAAATCCAATTTTGAGCTTCTCAATTCTCTCATTTGTTAGCCATTCTCCAACAGGAAAGGGCACAATCCTAGGCCTAATATGGTCATCAAATTCACAATTAAATGTGATGTGTTTCTCCTCAGGGTAATACTTATCCAAACAAACACCCATCCAATTATCTAGGCCTTCCGGCTTGCTTCCATCAGATTTTCCAGGTGCTAATGGCCTTATCTTATCAGCTTTCTGCTTATAAGCAGTGCACACTCTCCAGACCTCTGAAGAAGATGGCCTGATGTCCCATCCACTATTGAAAATGTCTATCTGACATGATTTCTTCATGACAAAATTGTGATTTTTGTTCAGAGATGTGTAAATTGATTGAGCACTTTGTGGAATAGGTTTGTGAATTAAACTGGAATTTATATTGTGTGTGTAATGTTTGCAGTGAGCTGTGATGCTGTCTGGATTGGGAAGCAGAGGTTGGAAAATCCAAACTCCTGATGCAAAATTATCCTTGTCTTCTGATTGGTCCATTTGATTCACCAGCACACTGGTCAATCTGATTAGACTTAGCACACTTTTGGATTCACCAACACTGGAATTATGTTTCTCCTCATCACCATAAGCACCAACACCAGCAATGCTGCCAATGCTCCTGACTTCCCTATTCTTTTCAATCTCCTGACCTTCAACCTTCTCATTATTAATTCTTATACCCATCATCTTCATTACATCTTCTTCATCCTCCTCAGGCCTTGTATCCACAGGCACCTGCCTGATTAAATGCCTGTTGAATCATTTAAATGATTGCTGTTTGATTTATCAGTCACATATCTCATGTTGCTTGAGTTTGGCTTAAAGTCTTCAAAAACTAGGCAACACATTCATTCTTCATTATAAATTTCACAGTTCACTCTGCTGTCTTCTGAGGTGTTGCACCCCCAACAGGCAGCAAATTGCCAAGGTCTTCCAAGAATAAGTTGCTGATCCTCTCTCTTGAATATAAGGAAAGGGGTATGTGTAACAATATCTCCAATTTGAACAGGCACTTTGTCACAAAATGTGTAAAAAGGAGTGACTTCTCCTGTTTGAACAACCATGGTCACTTGTGGCTTATTTTCTATTGGCAATTTCAACATTTCAGCATACTTCCAAGACAACAAATTGATTTCTGAACCAGTATCAATCAACACCATTAATTCTTGTTGGTTTATAGTGACTGGCGCATATAATGAACGCATTCCATATGCTGTTTTGGATTTTGGCACCATGGGCTTTGAAGTAAGTCAACCAGAATTGATCTTTAGCTCAGGCTGAACTGGTTTGGAGACTCCAACCCTTGCATGGCTTTTGCTAGTACTGTTATTCCAGCCTGATCTGAAGAATGCTTGATGAAGCTTTGGTGATACACCTATAAGCTCCTTGACTGACAATTTGACTTTTCCATTGAGAATTCAACCCATTAATTCATTGGCATCTGTTGAATCACAGATCTGAGAGGATAAGTGATCTGTTGCAGAATATCTTGGTCTTTGTTTCTCCACAGACTTGTTCTGAATTTCAGGCTTCTTCTGATTGATTGGTTCAATGTCTTCCATGACATTGTCATCAACACTAGCCTGATTATCCCAGTAAGTAATAAATTGTCCAGTACACTGAGTATGGGGTGTTGCAATCTTAGCTCTTTGATTGTTCTTAGCTTCTCCAACTGTTCCAACATTGACTGATGTTCTTTCTTCCAATGGTTCATATTCCTTATCCAAATCAGATTCTCCATCAGACATTAGATATGCAAGCCGTCCTGCTTGGACCTTCACACTGATTGAATTTGCGGGAGATGTCTCTTCTTGCTGATTGATCTCCTTTTTAGGGCTTGTTGACTCCAGAATCACCCATTCATCCTCTTCCATAGACCGCACAATATACATGTTTGGGATTCCAGGTTTAGGAGTGACAGCTTGATAGTTTTGACCCTTAGAGCCCATGTGTAAGTTCTCTTTGTCATCAATATGGCAGTATCCATTACTCATATCGGATTGGTATTCATAACACTGAGATTGATGATGTCCAGGTTTTCCACAGTAGAAGCATGAGGGATGTGTTGAAATTCCTCCAGTTTGAGCTCCTCCTTGTCCATGAGCACTACTATAGCCTGTCATAGGAGAGCCATTTTGAGCCAAATAGGGGTTGACTGGCAGTTGAGTATTCTCTTGTACAGTTGTAGGATTAACAGTCACATTTGTTGGATAATTTGGTATAGGTTTTGGAGGTCCTTCTCTCTGCAGCATATAATACTGATTGGAATTCCCTTGTATCTGATTTGATTGTACTCTCATGGTCAATGCCAAATTTGTGAACTTGTTGGTCATCTTTTCAATAGCAGCTTCAATATTGGTGCTGTCAGAGCCCTTGGCTTTGGCTTTCAATTCAGATTCTTCAGTCTTCACAAAACTAGCTGTTTTCTTTGGAGCTTCAACTGTAGGGGGCTTGTTAGCCAATTGATATTGCTCACCAAGCTTCTCCATTTTCTTTTGTTTTATTTCATCTTCTTTAAAGATCTTCTTATTCTCTTCATACTGGTTGATCAAATCCATGGTCACCTGAACAACTTTCCTAAAATCAATAGGCGACATATTGTCTGAAAGATTGAGCTTGGCCTTGTCAATAACCTTATTCTGGAGCTTCTCAGGTAGCCTCTGAAGGAACCAAGACACCTTAGTGAATTCATCAAGCCTTCCATTTGCTTGAACTGTACTGGCGATAGTAGTGTATTCTCAAACATAGGTGCAAATGTTGCCATCCCAAGCATGCAGTTTCTTTGTAATTACCTGGAGGTAATCCTGATGGTGAATCTTGTAAGTGATGTCTTGATCATGAAATTCATGAATAATCTCTTTGGAGAATACTTCCCAATTACCTTCTTTGTAGCCTTCCAAGGTCTTCATCCATTCTCCAATCCATGTAACACAGTACCTAGCCAACCATTCAATAATGTTTTTAGGGTCAATTACCCCATGATTCTTGCACATCTGATAAAACCTTTCAATAAACAGGGTAGCATCTCTGCTGTCAAACCAAGGTGCATTTGCTGTGCCAGGGGAAGGTATAGGAATGTGGGAATGAACCACAATTCTCTTGTCCTCACCCAGTGACATAGTTGCATATGATCCTGTAGTACCTTCAGCCATAGTTGATTCTGATTCCAATTTCTTGGTTTCTTGATCTTTGGTCATGTCACACAGTATGTTCTGTCTATTAGTCAATATCTTCCAAAAACCTGTTTATCGGGCAAGCTCTAGATAAGAGGCATTCAAATCTAAGCTCCCTAATCTTATTCCTAAATAAAAAAAACTGATTAGTACTGTGTTCCTAGTCCATAAGATCTTACCTTGAAATAGTGTATTGCTTCATGTGTCTCAGAATTTGTTTTTCTCTTCCTTGGCAGTCACCAAATCACTGCATCATCATCTTCAGGTCTCAGCTTGGTCACCAAATGGAGTGGGGTATGATGGGATGCCTTGTCAAAGTAGGTGAGTTGGTTGATATGGTGAGAGCACAAGAAAGGTGAAAAATCATCATATAGTAAGGGTATGATCAAGTAGTAAGTGTAGAGATAGATATGTTCTAACAGATGCCTAAGCTTGCAAGGAGTAATAGTACTAAAGAGCCCTGTACTAACACAGGCAGCTCTAATGAGGAACAGTAGCAAGTTTCATGAACAAGAAATCTTCATATTTGCTAACTAATAACCGAACTGGTAGTAAGGAACAAGTGTGTAGAAAAGAGCTATGGTGCGTGAAGGTAATAAGCAAGATGCAGGGGCTACAGGTGGTTTATATAGCTCAAGGATAGTAGCTTTGGGGTGGTTTGCGCCTCGGACTGGAACAACCTTTGTCCTAATGAGGTACCGGAATCCCCACTACACTACATAAAGATTTTAAATGAATTCTTGAAGCTTCAATCTAGGTTCAAGAAGATCAAATTTGTAGAATATTGTGGCATGCACACCTACAGGCTTTGGGACCCAGAAACAAACAGTATAATGATCTCATGAGATGTTATATTTGATGAGAAATTGGATCAAATCCCTACAAATTCACTAACCAAAGCTGAATACATTGAACTTCCAGAGAAGTATGATTACATAGATCCATTGAATGGCTGGCAACACAAGCTACTAGCTGATCTTGCAAAGGAGAAGCCAGAAATCATAAAGAAGCTTATGAATGATGAATTAGAGACTTTAGAGCTTATATATCTAGGTGAAGAGCAAGAAATTCTCTTGAATGCTACAGAGAAAGAAGAGATAAATAAAGCTGAGCTTCCAGTGTTCAGTATATGTACAGATATATCAAAATCCATTACTGAAGCCAAATGCTCTGAAGAGTAGCTTTATTGAAAGAAGACTCTAGATGTTGAAGTCTTCAAATTACAAGAGAAAGACATTTGAATTCTAGTTAAGAAGAAATCCCAAATGCAGATCCTCTCTGGCAAATAAGTATTTGATAGGAAGCTTGTGAGGATCGTACGTGTGGATCAGCGTGACAATGAATCTCTAGGAGGAATATACATGGAAAAAGAGTACGCGAGGTAAAAGGTCTGTATTCTGGCAACTATGTACGACTTGTAAACAAGATTGCCACTGGCTCCCAGCAAGGGGTTCGCGCAGTGACGGCCTTTTATGTGTGCTCGCGAGCACGTGACTTAGTGCCTCGCGAGGACACATGCAACTCCCAGCAGCTCGCGAGCTGAGGCCTCTGGCCCTCACGGGTGCTGTTCGTCCATGTAAGGGGTTCGCGGCGAATCCTTACAAAGCTCAACAACATAGATAACACAGTATGATTCAAAGCCTGTTAGGTTGTATATAGATTTGAACAGCAAGAAGATGTTCACTACAAGAAGATCTATACAGCAGTTGTTAGTGAACCTATAATAAGAGCCTTTTTTGCTATCTCAACAATCAAGAACTGGAAGGTCAGAGTCTTTGACTTTATAACAGCCTTTCTAAATGAAACTCTTTCAGAGAACAAACATGTATATGTTCAACTATTCACTGGATTCAAGTACAGATGAGGTAACCTAGTAGAGCTCTTATACCAGAAACTCTATAAGTTAAAGCAAGCTACTAGACTCTGGTATCAAGCAGCTACTGACTATCTGAAATCTCTAGAATTCCAGATCTCTCCATATAATGCAGAGTTACTCTACCACAAGAGGAAGCAGATCTATCTAACTCTATACATCAACAACTGCTGTATAATAGGACCCAATGAAGCTGAAATAGAATGACTTATTAAGAAGCTTCAGAAATGCTTTGAGATCAAGAAGATTATAGAACAAAACTGTTATCTAGACATGCAGGTTCAAAAGCAGCCAAATGGAGACCTTTTTGTGAACCAGAAATAGTATATTGAGAATCTACTGACTAAATATGGAATGGAAGACTGTAAATCTTTCAAAATACTAATAAAGAAAGAAATAAGCATCAAATTTGCATCAGATCAGACTCTTAAAGATAGAGTTAATGAGCAGGCTATATCTATAAATTACAGAAAAGGCCTGGGCTCTCTACAGTTTCTAATTACATGTACAAGACTGGATATTGCATTCACAGTTAATTATCTGGTGAGATTCAACAGTAGACCTAATAAAGAAAGCTGGGTGGTGTTCAAGCAGATTCTACACTATCTCAAGAGCACAAAATTAAAAGAATTAGTCTTCAAAAGAAATATGGATTCTGAAGGCTTGAAACTGGTGGCCAGTTTGGATTCTGACTGAACTGAAGCTGACCCTGTGTACAAATCTATCAGCAGCTACATTATTACCATGAATAGAGCTCCAATATTGTGGAGATCACAGCACCAGACATCCATCTCAAAATCAATGACTGAAGTGGAGTATTTGGCAGCTAGCAAAGCTGCTTGTGAACTAGTTTGGATCAACAACCTGTTGATAGATACTGGGGTGATTAGCAAAGGCTCAGCAAAGCTAAGAAGCTCAAAATTAAGTATTGACAACAAGAAAGCAGTTGACTTAGTCAAAGCTGAAGCTATAACACAAAGAGCACACTATATTGAGATTCAGCACCATATGCTAAGAGACTGGATTCAAAAGAACAAAATCTTAATTAAGCACATTGGAACTGATGTGAATAAAGCTGATGAGCTTATGAAGACTCTTGCAATGAATTCCTACACTCAATTTGTGAGTGTGATAGGGGTGACAAGTTGATACAGGAAAATATGGAGGTTTATCAGTAAAGCCAGTGAAAATACAGTATCACAGCAAAATGGAGCTAAGCCTAAAGAAGGAATAAATCTGGATTTTGTAATTAATTTTTTATCACAGATTTGAGAGATTTGGAAGCTTTGGATCTTTGTGGCTCTTGCTTGCTGCTGGAGCTCATTGTATGGGGGGGTGTTAGGTAATCCAACCAGCACCTCGCTCACATGACCCACATAGATTAGCCGAGATTCCCCTTTAAGTAGCTAGTGAATGACAAGCATATAAGTCCTCCATCAGTTTAGGCAGCAACCATGAAGATGACGTTGCCAAGAAACAACATCATCATTGTGCTAAGGGGTGAGGATATAGCGGCGAGCTTCTTGCGCTAATCCGGAAGCAGAACTGTTAAAGTTTCCCCGTCACTACCTATGCAGCTTGAGATTCCTCGAAACCGTGTTTATCAATCCGCATCACAGTCGCAGAGAATGGCCTTGGAACCAACAAGCCCCTGTTAATTCTAGACCAATTTCCACGGATATAGGCAGAGTGGAACTATGAAGGCGGTGTTGCCTATATAAACTCCGTGAGAAGCGAGTTCTGCAAGGCCGGGTCTAAACGGGCAATCTATCCATCATGGTATGACAGGCGCATAACCCCATGGCGTTTGAACGCCTTTTTCTCTCAATCAAGGTCTCAGTGCTTTCTTTGAATCTATTGCTTCTGGATTGAATCGCCTGCAGGGACGCTGGAGGCGCTTTCTCTGCGGCATTAGAAAACGTTTTCTCGATCCCGCAGGGCCGACAGTATGGAGGCTGTTCACGCAACTAAAGGCGTCAAACCCAAATTATATCCTAAGACCTGTCCAGGCCTATAAGCATCAATAGTGTGTTTCAGCTTTCACCGGAGGATAGTTATAACGGAGAGCCGTTTCCTGGCACGGAATACTTATTGTTGTTTGATCTTTTTACCTATTTAATGCGTCTCCGACTGGACCCTGCATCTCCGCTACCCTAAATACAGGCTTCTCTCCTCCCCTGTGCACGGCAGAATCTCAACGGGAAATAGCCCAGTTGGCCTTCGGAGGACTAGGTTCCCCGCATAGTAGCCCCGAAAGAGTCCTAGGGCGCTTACAGACATGATCAAACTTAACCTATTCATGCTCAGGCATCTCCACTCGCCGATCTAACAGGACTCTTGTTTGTGGCTCCCGTCCATGAACGGCAAGGTATCCATCGACGCAAGTTTCAAATAAACAACCAAAGCTCTCACAAACACAGGATTATAGAGTAGGGTGGCTGCATGTCCCTGAGAATGATATGTCCGTCGCATGGCAAACGCAAACTTGAAGCGAGGACTCTTGATAAGGGATATAAGCCGTCAACCCTCCCATCTCACACTCCAATATGAGATATTCAAATTTCCAAATCCAAGGAGGAATCAAAGCTGTGCCAATCTTGCTGTCCTTCGTATTCAACATCAAGACAAGATGAAATTTCTCAACGCCTTGCCTCTGCTACTTTCATCCATATCTCCTGCAGCTATTGCCGTCCCGCTTGCCGATAATTTCTCAAAGTCATGCGATATCCTCGGCGTTCAGCAGAACACCCTCACTGCGATTTGTCAAGCGCCTAGGGTGAGATACGAACATCCCTCGACTTGAACCATTGCTTTGCAAACTCTGATGGACAAATCGTTGCTCGGAATGAGTATGATAGTCACTTTTCCTCCTGCAGTTTACTCGGAGATATGGGTGACTCTTGAGAGAGACTAATCATCGCGATCACTGTTAAATATAGGGGTTACTTCCACAACAGCTGCAATTATTGCGGTGGAACTGGGGAGGGAATTCTTCGGTGCTTTTGCAACAAAAAGGGCAGCGGGCAGGAGGATACGAAAATAGACATGAGTAAATTAAAATCTCATCTTTCTTGGAGCATCCTCTCCCCTTGAATGATGTGGCTGA